GAAGTACCTTCATTCCTTGACCATAAGATGTCTGTGTGAATTTGTCTAAACGAACAAAAAGGGTGAAAGCCAGAAGTAGGTTAACTGTCTCAGGTAACTCCAGCCTGTCTGAAATCAGTTGCTTTATTCCAGATGAACACTTTGACAGCTTTTGAGCAGAACTAAGTCTCTTGGGAGGGGAGAGGGGTGGAGCAGTACAGGGCCTTGCTGCAATAGGAATAATTGCTATTGAAATTTGCTTGAGGATGCCGTTTTATCTAAGTTTGATTAATAGTAGGGTACCTAAAGTCCTTGTACAGTCATTCTTGTTATTTGTTTTAAGCTTATAGAACACATTAACAGGGACCTGCCTTCGCTTCTTCCATCAAGTACAGATGTGTTTTTCCTTCTCTAACAATTTAAATGAACTGTGACTGTGACTGATCCTTCTGGCTGCACTGAGCTTCCACGCGATAAGTCACTCTGTTTTTTAGAGCTTTGGAGGCACCTGTGAGTGGATTTTCAAAAGCAGTTCACATTGGCACTTGCTGATGTTTACAGGAATTTTGTTGCTGGTTTACCATCCTGATCTCTTATCCTAGGGTATGTTCTGCAAAATCCCCCCTTTCCTCTCATTTTAGGCTATAAGAAATAGGCTAATACGTTTCAGGAAGCCCAAGCCCTGTCTGGTGGCCGAAGTCTGTTTCTGAAGGTGAAAAGAAATCTCTAGAGTTTCAAAGTGAAAGCAACCAAACCAGTAAGGGAATGGACTGCAGGGACTGAAGTTGAAAAGTGTCACATTTTTGGTTTTGTCTGAAGGGCTAAGCATAAACTTCCTTTACCCTCATATACCCTGCATGCTATAGCAGTTTCTACAGTTCCACTAGTCCGACAGGATGTGCATTGCTGATCTGAGCATAACAGATAGTGTCTGGATAGCTGCCATGCCTAAATATACAGACAAGCCTAACATATCTTGCTGGTTCAGAAAGGATGCATGAACCAGGAAGAGGCACTGAGCTCCAAAAGGAGAGAGAGCAGAACTGGACAGTTAGGGCCCAAAGTGAAGAGTGACTCCTGTGTTTCAGCTGGAGCTCGATGAGCTCTGTGTGACTCCAGCAACAGAAAGTTTAATGACAGTTAGTCAGCTCTGTATACTGTTGGTTTTACAGGCTGCATTTCCCCCTTCATCAGAATGCCAACACTAAGAAAGTTTGCCTCCTTTAATGCTACCTCCCGCCTTTCTTTCTGTCTCCTCATATATTCTATTATTCTCCATTTTCTTAAGGCCAAGATCAGGCAGCAGAGGTGAAGAGAAGACCCTTAAACCTCTAGGTAGGTACTGAGCACGACTGTCCTAAAATGACCATAGGAATCCTGACCCACGTGGGTGGCACTGTGGAAGTTCATCTGAAAACCATCCTTTAACTCTTTCCCATTCCTTGATGTGCTCAGACAGCTTCCCCAGAGCCCAGTCACTGGGAAATGTGCTCTGGTGATCTGGTGAAAATGGCTTCAGCATGGAGTTATGAATGGCAGGAGCTGGAGGGATACCTTGGGCCCTGGGAAAGCACAGCAGGAGAAGGAAACATTCCTCTACCTTGTGCTCGTACCTTTCATTTCCCTGCACACTAATGGCACAAAGATTAGAGAAAAATGAGGCATTTTGCATGAAATGAGAAATGTTCCCACTCCTTCCTCCTACACTTGAAGGAGAAGAAGCTTCCCTTGCAACAGTTTCTGAACCAAATCCTTTGATATCTGAAGTACATTCATGATCATTGCCTATTTTTGCATGGGGAGACATAGTGAAACCTTGTGTGACAGGATGTCCTTGTGAATATTCCCATTTATAAAGGAAGACAAAAAAGATCCAGCCTATGCAGGATGGGAACTATCCATTCTCTGATAGCACAAGCCTAAACTGAATGCTGAGTAATGAAGAGAGGTTTCCATTGTGCAAGTCACCACACGTGCTAGGTCCCTTAGCTCAGTGTTACTTCTTCCGAATAACTAACAAATAACTGGGAAAAAGAAGACATTTACTAAAATCAGAATGGAGAGGAATAGATAAAAATCTTTCTGGCAAGGGCCATCTCCATCTCTCTGCTCTTCTCTATCCATCACAGTGCTCACCAGAAACCAGAAACCATGTTTTTTAGTCTGATGAGCAAAAAAGTAAAGTCATTTCTGCTCCCAGTGCAGCATGGCAGTACCCCTTCCACCCCCCCCACCCCCCCCCCATCTTTTTGGAGAGGTTACATGTACCTCGCTGTTCTCATGCACAATCTATATGCGTGTCTTATCAGGACTCCACACTCATGAACCCATCTTGCCTGTTCTCCAGCATCATGTTGGTGGTGGCATGAAGCCTGACAGAGAATTATGTGAACCTCTGGCCCCATTACGTCTCCTTCCTATCCAGACCAAGAAGAAGGATCATCTCATGAGCCCTCACCTTCAGAGTGGTGACAACTCAAAGGACAGCAATGGAAGGGTATGGGCTAAGGGCAGGAATGAGCAGGCTTTCTTTTCAGTGACTGTTCAGTGCGTAGTGCAAACTGTCACTGAAAATCATAATCTTTCCCTCTTGGGGTGTAGTTTCTCTTTGGACTGCATTTGACAGCTGCAGAGCAATTGCTTGAGTGGTTTCCCTGGTGAAGAAGTCACCTTTCAGGAGATAGTGCTCAGGTTGTGCAAGAAGCCTTCTTCATGTGGGAAGGCCAATTTAGAGCTGATCTGCACAGCAGAGCAAGTTACACATCAGTGAACATGTGCAAAGTGCATGCTTGGCAGCACAGAAGCAAAGACTACAATGTGAATGAAAGCAAGTCTGCAAAGTAAAATGGGAGAGCCTGCTTTGCCTTTGTTCCCTTTCTTGCTGTATCTCACAGCCCTCCCATTCTCAATTTTTTGATTTGTTATGACCAATGTCTCTCCCACTTTTTGGACTTTTTTGGACTCCTGTTCTCAGGGAGCATCTGAGTCCTTCAGAAGCAAGGAAGTAAAAAGCAGCTGCAATAACTGGCCGTGTGTGTTATGAAACAGCAAATTACCTCTCATGGCTGCTTATTTGCAGATGGTATTATTCCCCTACCCTGGCCTGTAGGAACTGAACTGCCTATTCACTGGTAAGCCTGAGTTTTTGCCCATAGCAAAAGTCCCAGATACAACACTGGTGCTAGGAGGCATCTTTAACTCCAGGGCTGAGCTCTGGTGCAGTCTAGCATGCTGTGCCTACCATGCTCTGATGTGTACTCCCCCAGTCAATTAGCCACTTCCTGCCTCAGCCCTCTCTGCCTGTGCTGCTGTCTGGCTCTCCAGCCAGCTTCTCTCCTATTGATTGCAGCAAGGGTTGTGTCTGCATGGGAATTAGTGACTTGGTACAATCATGCTGTTGAATGTCAAAGTGCTTAACAGCTGCAAGCCTCTCATCCCAGGGCACACAGTGAAAATTGGGAACAAGCAGTGCCTCTTCTGTCACTCCACCCAAATAAGGTGTCTGTGCATAGCAGATGACATACAGGAGAAGGGCTGCCTGGTGTTTGCAGGCTGCTCACTACCTGCACTAAATGTACGCCAGATGATGAGTCCATAGTGATTCTCATCTCTCCTTTGCGTGGACTCTACCTCGTGTTACGATCCTGAGGAGAGGGAGTTAAGAAAAAAGAATCTTGGAATGATCCTCTGAAAGTTCTGGTGATGCTACTCTGATTTTCAGAACTGATCACAAGTAGCCTGACGTGGCTGTCCGTTCACATTGAGCATTGGATACTCTGTATTCCCTACAGAATATTCTACATGCTTGTAGAATGACATCACTGATGTTCATGACAGTGCCATCAGTGACATCCAAATCAATCCCCATCTGTTTTGATTTTACAGTTCCCCCTTACTTTGTAGAACAGGCACGGTAGCATAAAACCCCTGTGGAGTCCATAGCAGTTCATCTAGATTCTGTGCAACACTTATACACTCAAAACTTTTAGACAGCTCAGATATCTTCATCTACGCTTTAGAAAATGAGCTTTTGAGTGCAAGGCATGAAATTGTTGACCTATGGTGCTTTTGATGTCCAGTGGGTTCCATTACAAATGCTTTTGTCATCTGAATTTTCTTCTGTGTTGTGTATTTATCATCAAGAGAGTGTGTTCGCTAACAATTTGCTTCTATATTTACATATTCATATTCTCAATTCACATTTGGAAGTTTCTTTTGTCACAACTATAGAGACCAAAAATTGCATTTTTCCGCAAGAGAAAGCTTAGGCATTGCACAGTTTGCAAACAAGTACATTTGATGATGGATAAATGTCATCTCAGCATCTTTGAAGTACAGCCAGCAGGTACCTCTGAAATAGTCAATCTTGATAATGCTTGGAAAATAGCAATATCCATAAACTACTGCTTTTCCACTAGTATGCTAAAATGTATGTGCAGTCAGCTGTCTGCTGTCTAGGACATTTGAAGCAAATGGAAACATGGGCACTGTGGGGTTTCGAAGGTGAGGTGTCACTGTTCCCTGGTGGTTCCTCCTTGGGGACTTGCCCAAGCCCAGCTAGATTCGGTGGTTGGGGCTTGGTGCTCAGTTGAGGGCAGATGGAGGTGTTTCCTACTGGGTGCCTCTGTCCTCAGTGCTCCAGGAAACAGGGAGGTGCTACAGGGAGGTACTCCTGGGATAGCAAGCCCTGCTGGGCACCACTGCCTCCCAGTGACCACGAGCTCTGTGGCACTCTGAATCTGCAGGCTGGCTGTGGCACCTGTATGGACAGGGGAGCTGGCTCTGTGTGTGCCATGTTCAGGTTTACACAAGGAGCGGGTGCCCAGCTGTGGGTGCCTGGAGGATGGCTGGGTACTGGGTCAAGCAACGAGCCAGAGAGCAAGGAAGTCTCTGGGCCAATGCCAGTCTGCAGCCCAGTGATTTTCTTGGCTGAGAGCTGGGGTTGGAGACTGCTTGGTGGTGGAGTGCCTCGGCCCAGGGTATGCAGTGCTGGTGTCTGACCATCTCTCTCTCTCTTACAGGAATCCCAGTGCCGGCCACTGCTCTGGACTCTGTAGAGTGTGGAGAGTTGTCAGAGCATGGAGATGACCAGGAAGCCAGACCCTTCCCTGATGCACAAAAGGGTCTGCTCGACACACTCACATGGCTCAGGAGTGATGAGTGGTAAGAAAGCCCCATGTTCAGGCTTCCTTCTTCTCAGTGTAAAGGAAAAGTTAGAAATGTTTGTTATTTGAGTCTCTGAGCCCAGAGAGCCCAGACGTCCACAGGGACGTAGTGAAACCACTCCAAAGCAGTCACAGTATAAAGATGAGAGAGCAGCCTTTTCTTTGCCTTGGTCCACAGCAGTGCTACAGCAACAGCCCACCCATGCTGTTTCCTAGTGTTGCCTTCTGCTCCATGTAGGTGCAAGCGTAATGTTCAGGGAAGAGAGGAAATTGTGGAACAAGATTATTTGCTAGCTGAAGTCAGAAGCAGAATGGAAGTGGTCATGAGTTCATAGACGTGGTGGCCTCAGTTCACTGGCCCAGGTGGGACTGAGTAAGGATTTATCTGTGTTTCCAGTGCTGGCAGCAGCAGCACCAGCAGCAGACCTTCTGCACATGAGTCCCAGTAGCTCATGATACCAACCAGAGAGCAGTGTATCCCAGGGACAGGATGATACACTGAGGGCACAAGAAACAGAAACACAGCATAGTCTCCCAGCTTCTAGGAGGCAGCAACACAGGGACCTTGTGTGCCATGGATTTCAGAAAGGCTCTCTTGTTTCGTGGCCACAAATTAACCGATTTACTCTGCAACCATCTCTTTGCCTTTTGGATTTATGTCTGCTTTTGTCCACCACAGCATTCTGTCACAACGAGTTCCATGATTTAATTAAGTGCTGTTTGAGAAGCACCTCCCTTTGTTTGACCTGACACCCTGGTAATGGCAGAGGGTGTAGCTTAGTCATTTGGTGGTGCGAAAAATCAGTGTTTTTTGGTGAAACTGCCTTTCAGGGAGGAAAAGACCAAGAGGCTCTTCAGTGTCAGACGCCTGGCTATCTGCCACTCAGAAGTCCTTCTTAGGAGACTTCATGGTGTTTCCTCGACAGTCACCAGAGAGGTAAGAACATTGTCTCTGTGTCCCACATGCGTCATCCATGGGGCCTAGAGTACATATGAGCTTGTCCATTTGTGTGTGTGCTCAGTGTCTGCCTTCACTCCGAGTTTTAGGCCTCATTTTTCTAACAGCTGTGTGACCTCTCCGTAAGACTTGTCTGTCCATACAGCTGTGTTCACTGGTAGGTAGAACATCTGTCTTTCTCCTCCTTGAGCTTGGTGTCTTTCTGAGGCAGTGCACAAAAGCAGAAACTGAGACATTAATCAAGTGATTTGCCAGGGCCCAAGTCTCTGCCTAAACTGTAATTAAACACTGCAGCTTTTGCTTCCCAGCTTCCTCCCACTTCATCCTTCTCCTCAGCTTCCTGGAGGATTGTCTGTAGGTGTTTTGTTTCCAGTGTTTCCTGATGATGTCTTCTCCTCTTTACCTTCTGTGTGCTTTTTGGTAATTTGCCCTTTCCATTGAGCTGTTGCGTCTGTGCACCAGTGGAATTTTGCAGTGCAGCCCATGGGTGAGGGGTTTGTGTGGCAGTGGCTCACAGCTTCACCCTCTCATCTCTCAGTCATCAAAGAGGTCTGAACTAAAACTCCTGAATAATATCTGTGGCTGTATTTACAATTTGGCCCTTGTCTGTGGCCTGAACCAGCTGCTTGTCCTCTTACTACATGATTGCCAAATATATTCCATTCTACCTTCCTTGCAGAAGACAGTAAGACTTAGCCCATGTCCATGAAAATCAGTTCTTCTATACAGTATTTCATGATGTTGAAGTCTTGAATACCCCTTCTGTTGAAGACTCCATTCTCTCTTTGAATCCTGAAACTTTTCTGTTTAGAGGTACAGGACTTAGATTCTGCTACTCTGAGATCAGGGTTAGCAGCAGCTGCCCTTTCTGCTTCACTTATCTGAGTTTTACATCATTTTCTGAGAAAATCTCCTCTCTTGTTCTACTAATTCATAACAGGCACAACCATGTCTGGCAGAAAGAACCACTGGTCTGTGCTTCAAGTTATCTTTCAAATGGAGCATATGACTGTGACATGCTTCTTCCTTACCTTTGTGGGGGAGAGTCTTTTGGCAGCAGGGATCACTCCGGCACAGCACTGAATACTGTAAAACCCCACCATCTTGTGATCTCCAAGATCCTTGCATGCCTTGAGTCCAGCAGCCTGGGTTCTCCTGAGGTGACAGAGCTGCAGATAGACTCTAGGTACTGCTGTGAATTAGTCTGTAGACTTGAGAGCTTGTGTTTCCTATTTCTTCATTGAGTGCTCAAACTTCATTACAAATTGTGCCTTTATAGTGTAAATGTAGATCTTGCCTTAATTTTCTGATTTGCTTTCAACAAAAGGGCCTAAAATCATAGCAGGGTATGCTATGGGCTAAGGAGCACACTTTGTCTTAGGTGAAATAATATTTTTCAGGCCTGCAGTCTCATTGACATTGTACTGTAGAAGTGGACCTGAGGCCACTGAAGAAGTCAGTATCAGAGTTTTATTGTGTTGGTGGTCTGCTCTTAGTGTGCTCTTATGTTGCACCTGGACACAGTGAGAAGTCTTGTTTTGTCCTGTGACACTTGTCTATGGGAACTGATTTTCTTTACAAGGTGATTCTTGCATCTCCCCTCATGACTTCCCCAGGTGAACACCCCCCACTGGAAGGTTTCTCTCCTTGCTCTCAAGACTCTTGGAGAGCTCTTCAGGACCATGAAGAAGCACATGGACCCTGAGTTGGATGAGGTTACTCAGGTCATGCTCCAGAGGATGGGGAACTGCAGCATGTCAGTTCAGAAAGTAGCCAGTCAGTGACTGGGGATCACTGTGGGGAACGTGACTCCTGCACAAGCCATTACTGCTGTCATGGTTAGTGAAATCCAGTATGTTGTTTTAGTGATCTGCTTCACCTTAACTTGTATGGGAGACAGAAGGGTAATGATGGGAGGGTAATTTCTCCTGCATCTGTTGGGAACTCAGTGGCACTAGACTGTGATGAGGTTGCCTCCCTTCCTCATGATCTACTCCTGCCCTGCTATAGCCTGCTTGTTCTCACAGCCCGTCAACACTGCCTAGATGTGGTGAATGATGGGGAAGTGAAAGTCTCTGTAAAGGGTGGTAATACTGCCTTGTGGCTTTGTGGGAAGAGGAACAATGGCAATTCCAGCAGTGAGCACCCTTTGATATTTCTTAATGTTGACCACAGAGACGCTGGGAAAAAACATGCATCATCATTATACCATTAACTTATGACATAAGGAGGCTCATTGCTGGATTGCTGGGTCATGGAGCATTTGGGGTAGAAACCGTGGGGTGTGGCACAGCATGCACATCAGGCGCAGCTCCTTCCGACTTCCAAGAGGAGTTTGTCTGTTGTGTCCTTAGATCTCTGCTTTCTAGTCAAATTTATGCTGCATCTTAGCCTTGAGGTGGTGAGTCACTTCATGGACACCTTCACAGGCCAAGTGCCATGGGTTAACTGAAGCAAATTCTAGAGTTAAAAAAAAAGAGCCAGCATGAATTGTCTTCCATTTCCCTCTTTCTCAGAGTTAATTTTTTTATAGATATTGAGTATCAACTAGTCCAGGGAGATTGAATTCCTCCTCTTCCTTGCAGGTAGTGCCTCTGCACAATGCCAGCATTGTGTTTATCTGAGGACAGAATCTTCCTCAGGTGTCCAACACTGCAGCGAGAACACATGCCTCCTTCTCCCAGCAATGACAGAGAGCACAATGGGGCTGAGACCTGTGCTTCTGGCCCTTGTTTTCCCTCTGCACGAGTGTTTGTTCTCTTGTTTCCATTTACCACAACATCCTGGTGCAGAAGTGTGCAGCCAAACAGCTACTGACCACGATGGAGCAAACTGAAGGCCAGAAGCTCCTGTCTGGCACATGTTACAGTGCTGAGGTGTTTGTTCGTACTGTGGTGAAACTTGCTGAGGATTGTCATCAGGACATAAGGTGATGATCTTCATTTCAGCTCCTAAAATATGAGAACTGTTGGACCATAAATGATAAAACCACAAAAGAGAGGAAAGTAAAGTCAATATTAAGAACATTACTTTGCAATGTGGGCAGTGTTGTCTGGGGAGATGACTATACTGGGTAACATGAGGTTGTCCAGTAAAAAGAACCATTGCTGAATTCCTGTGACCTGAGTAATTCTTTATTGAGAATAGCTGAGTTCAGAATAGTAAAATAATTTTGTTTGGTTATTTGTCAATGTTTCCTATTAGCATAACTGTACCAAAAGACCAACAAACCTCTTTAATTTGGTTAGCAATGTTAATTCCCATGGATAGATGCCAAGAACACATGGGCAACTAGCTGCTCATTTGCATACCTGTAATACAGGATAATAAATAGGAAGCATGAGTGAGGTGATCTGTCCTGGCTTCTCCACAGGTAAGAAGGGTAAATTACTGTGTAATGGCAGCAAGACACTGCAAGTAAGCCCTGACAGCACAGCAGGAGATATCTTTTGCTTGTCCCACTGGATTCTTTGTTCCCACAGAAGCGTACCCACAATGTAAGAGTGAAATTGTGTTTTCCTGTTGCCCTGGGTTCTCTTCTTGCCTCTTGTGTTCAGCTGACAGCATAGAGCAGTGATGACAAGTGGAGGTAAATCTCACTCTTTGCTGAATAGGTAATACTTTCTCATGAAGGTGTTGCACATAATGAGTTTAAAGTATCAGCTTATTCTGTTAACACTCTTCCTTTGTTTATTCACAAAGACAGTAATAGTCTGTATTCCATTCTCTCTTTCCTGTGTTAGAAGTTATGGACAGAAGATGCTGAGTGTATTCATGAGCCATCAAAAATTTGAGAAGTATTTGAAACAGTCTGTTCCCTCACATGACTTGGGAGATGTTATGGCAACAGTAAGGCAGTAAGTAAATGCTTGGCAGGAGAAATGTCTCCTTTATGCAAGTACTGAGATTGTTCTTGTGAGATTAAACCTACCTAATCTTTCTTTATCTCATTCTTCTTCTGCTGAATCATTTTGCTCCTGGGAATGAACTGTTGATCCGCAGCCTGTTTATGTGTGGGCAATGAAGGAACTGGTGTCACTAGAAATAAAGTCTTTGGAACAGAAGAAGGAAGTAGTAATGCCAAGAAAATTGCCTATTATGCAAAAGATGCACAAGGCAATCATAATTAGTGCATGAATTGTCTGTATTCTGGGGATATTGCCCTACTGCATGCACTGTGTAGCTGGAAGAAGCTTTGTGATTTCAGCCGCAGTGGAAAACCATCGCCTTCTGGTTTGCTTCCATCCTCATCCCTTTCCTGCTTGAGAAAGACTATTCTCACCCTTATTCGGGAGCCTCTGTTATCTTTGGAAAGAGGAGGAAGTTGGTTAGAGACAGATCTTCCTTCTCCTGCCAGCAGCTGTTTTTTTTCCCTTTTCCAGAAGATGGTGCCTGTTAACATGGCTGTCAAGGGGACCTGCTTCTAAGGAGTACTGTACAGCACAGTAAACTTCAGAAGTCTGCCTGTTAGCTAGGCAAATGGTCTGGGTCCTGGAGAAGTCAAAAGAGCCCTGCACTTCTCCAGATGCAGGTTCTGAGATCAAACAAAACTTGGATGTCCTCCAGTCCCAGTTCTGGCAAAATCAGAACTACCCTCAGTACTTGAGACCAGCCTATGAAAAGAGAGGCATCATGATTTCATACCTCTATACCAAAAATACTATTTTGCATTATTAAGATGGGATTTATTTAAAGATTTATAGTAGGTAAAGAGAAACAGCACATGATCTATCCTGTCCCCACCCAAACCTCTTCATAAATACGGAAATCCTTTTAAGCAGCATGGGGTTGTGCAACCACTACAGTGAGTACAGGAAAGGAGTGAAATTGTGCTAGCAAGCACTGAGTGGACAGAAAGGATTCCATTCATCTTTTACATTGCTGGGTGCTTGTTCCCACATCCCTTCTTGAAACAAAGACATTTTAATCCAGCTGTCATGTTTGTTTTCTTAACATATTTTCAGTGTTTTTGTCCTTAGGATTCAGGACTGCAACAAGAAAGTGAAGCAGCAGGTGCTGAAGGCACTGGCTTGGATGACATCCAAGCTCAGAGATGCCTTACATGCAGTGCTGGTGTCTCTGGTAGAAGCAGTGACTGAGAACGTGAACTCAAAGCACCCAGGGATTTATGCTGCAGCTGTGAAAGGACTGGAAGCCTTCATTGCTCAGCTAGGTAAGGCTGACCTGTGGCACAGCTTCTCTTCAACCGCAGCTTCTGCGCTTCAGAGTCAAGCGAACACTAAATCTGTTGATAGCTGTTGTTGTCTGTGGAAATATCCATCTGCTGCAAGAGGCTTAGGAAGTACTGCCTGTATTTTATCTGTCCCAGTCTGTTGTATCATGTGGAGGTGTGCAGCTGAATGCGTGCTGCTTATCACCTGAATCATGTCTGAGTTTTAATTCAAACGAGAGGAGATTACAGGCATTATTTTAATTTCCTGCCAGAAACACATAGGGAACTAGCACCTGCCATGACTGTTTTTGTCCCTTCTTCCTGGGAAACTATGTGTTTCATTTTTATTGAATTGGACTTCCAAATGTGCATGCTGCTAATTGTACATCCACTAAAACAAGATGAGAGGAATGTGCTTTTTCCTCATGGTCAAAAGGGTGGTGAAGGCTCTTTCTTCTTGCTGGGTTTTGTCCCATGCTATGGCAGGGGCAGCTCCCTCAGCAGAGTTGCCTGGCCCTTTCTGACTTCATATGAAAAGCTTTGACCTTGGTTTCTCATTTTGCAATTTTAGGTAGTCATTTAGCTCTGTAATGCCCAAATGCAATTATTGTTTTGAATTCAAATATTGAGACTTTGAATTTAATAAGAGTGTTATGAAATATAGATGAAGGCTGCAATGCTTGTTCCATAGTCAGCCTGGAGGTCTCCACGTATTTAGGCTTAGAAATGCCTTGGCTCCCTTCTTTGAGAAGGTAAGGAGAGAAAGGTAAGGAGATCATCATTGTCTCCTTTTCTGGATGCTTGAGCATGGAGTCACAGGTATGCCTCTTGATGTAAAATATGTACCTGCACTATGGAGAGGATGAGGTCCCGATCTGACCTGTGTCCTGAACCATATGGCCCACTGCAGTTTGTGCAGCAGGTCTTCTGCTGCCTAGCAGGTCCTACTGAAGTTCTTAGGGATCCTCAGGCTCATTTTGGCTGGAGGCACTTGCCCTGCACAGTGCATCTCCAGCCCATCCCTTATGGCTGTCCGAAAGCTATGTGTTAGCATGCTGTGGACTGGCAAATATAGTGGCAGGTTCCTTCATGAGTAATACTACAGAAGTCCATGTTGGTGTCTTTACATTTCATAAAAACAGGTTTTAACAGCTACTTTTTGATCAATGCATTTGGATTTACTCCCTTTTGATCTGGCGTAGGAACTGAGTATATGCGTGTGGGTGGTTCTTAAAAGCATATGGAGATACTGTCCTGAAGTTAGGTCCTTGCTTCCCCTTACCCACCACAGGTTTCAGTTTGCCGTAATTTGGAGGCAGTAACCTAAAAATAAGGGAGTCAGAAAAGCAGAAATAAAAGGATGGGCATAAAGCAGAATGGGATTATATTAAGGTTTGTGTTCTCTCACCTCAGTTTTATGGTTGATATGAATAATTCACAACAATGAGTACAAGGACAGACAACTGGGTGGCTCTCTAGGTAAAAAATGGGGGTGGTAGGGTTGGTTAAAGCCAGGGGACACGGTTGAAAACCAGATCCAAGTCTGTAACAAGCATGGTTCTCTGTGCCTCTTAGGTTATTCTTACCCACTTATTCTAGAAGCTGGATCCACCTGGACGATCCATCTGCAACCAGTTAAGGTCTACCACAGAAAAGCAAGCTCCTCATAAAGTGTTT